CAACCAAGCACTGGGGCCCAACTCTGACAGTTCCAATGAAATCTGCCAGCTGGGAAGGCAAGGCCCAGATCTGTTTGTGCATCCCTGGAACTGGTAAGAGGATGTTCTAATCCCCTGGGAACCACAGACAGGCACTGGCTGGCTGGGAGGAACAGCTCCAGCAGTGGGTGCTGTCAGCAGAGACACCAGCTGGGATTCTGGGGGGAAGTCAGTTTAATTTTTTTGCACTTAAAGCAAGAATTCATTAGTTACAGCATTTCCTCTCTGAGTCTGGGGCTTAATTCATGGGGAGAAACTAAATTTTTGGCAATGACAGACTAATTCCTTTACTAGTTAAAAGGTTGGGTTGGTTTCTCTCTTCAGTGTCTCAGCTGAGGCTCTGGGGGAAGGCTCCAGGTCAGAGAAGGCTCCGGGGAGGAGGAGAACAGGGAATGGACGGGACTGGGGCACCCCAGGCACAGCAGTTTAACACACCAGCTCAAGAGCAGGTGGCCTTTTCTTTTGTAAATACACTAAAACCCACCTGTACAAAGCAGAATTCTACAAAGACAAAGCACTGGACAGAGGCAGATCATCTTATGCCCAGTAGAAATGTGAACTGTATCTCCAGCTCTCAGAGAAAGTGCCATCGTGGAGGGCTTGAACTGTCCACAGGGGCACCAGGGAAGTGTGTCCAGCACCACATGGAGGAGCTCGTGGTTCAAATCACAGAGGGACTTCACTCTCCCTTCATGTTGCCTTCATTTCCAGGACACGAAGAACAAAAAGAACTTGATTGTGACTTGTGTTTCAAAAGATTTCTAGACGTAAATTGGAGTTCATTTGGCAGCTCTTTTGTCACTCCTGGTGTAAAGTCAAGGGGACAGGGTGGCACAGGGCTGAACTGACTGTCAGTGCTGCATGCAGCTGGCACAGGCAGTCATTAGATGCTGGCATTTATTGCACATCTGGGGACATAACAGAATTCATCTAGAAATGAAACAAGGTGCCATCACCATTGGCAATGAGTGTGCACGAGAGCACATTGTAAAAAGCCTCTTTATAGAAATTACCTTATTGCAATTACACAGGGAGAGAAAAAGGGTTCTCAAGTTACAGTGTACAAATAAAGCACATTGTTCCAATGCTGGACTTAAGAAAACCCCCAAGTGCCTTGGGACTGAATGCTCTCCAGTTTCAAAGAGATTGGTTAAGTGTCTTCCACTTCTCTATGCTGAGAGATCTGAGAGAACTAGCTTGTCTGACTTGTCTCCAGTTTCAGGAGGAGATAAGACTTCATCTGTATCATAGTCTTCTTCACATGATCTGCAAAGACAAAAGGTGTGTCTTTAAAAGCTGTGTTTTGGAAGTCAGGTAAGTTATTTCAGGGCTAACAGACAGGAGCATGCAAGAGGTGAAGCTCGAGGGGGGTGTTCCTAAGGCACTGAGAACAGTGTGGGCAGCCCCTCTGAGAGCTGCCAGGGCTCTGTGCTTCCATCCATCCTCCTTTGGAACTTCCAGAACCAATTTTCACTGGTGCTCAGCAGGAGAAAATTTGAATCCAGTTTCAGTAACAATTGTCAGTAGCTCCCAGAGCCTTAACAGTTCAGTGCAGAAATAAAGTCAGGCCCAGAAACACCTGGTGTGCAGAGCATCTTCTGGCTCAGGTGTGTTCTGACAGCACAGCACAACTGTGGCCACGCTGGGTGTCCCTCTCTCACTCAGGCTGAGGTTTGATATCCAGGACTGAGGAGATTTGCCATGAATTCCCAGCTCAGGCTCTTGGGTCCTGTGTCCTGCACACAGGGCACCACTCCAGGGCTCTCTGGGGCTCTCAGCCCATTCCCATCCCTGAGAAAGGATGTTTCTGGATGCTTCAGTCTCAGCACACTCCAGGTTACTTTCTCAGCGCTCCCCAGAAAACAAAATTCTTCCTTTTGTTGTGAAAGCAACACTGCTCCTGAAGGAATTGCTGGAGCAGGTGTTCAATGGCCAGCACAGGAACAGCTCCAGTGCAGCTCTGGGCTGCTAAAGATGAACTCCTTTAATACCCCAGCATGGATATGCCAAGAAGGAATTTTCTACCACTTCCTGTGGTGTTCCTGCCTTCACTAACCCAACCCTGGAGCCTGTCAGTGTGTCCTGCTGGGGGAGGATGCTATGCTGAAGGTGGATGGTCCCTGTGTGGTGAGGGGACACAGCAGAGAGACCTTCCCGGACAACATTGTCATCCACTCTTCCCAAAGGGAAGCACCTGCTCAGTAATTCTGCCACCTTCTGGATTCTTGCATAAGTGGGAGAAGGGAAACAATGCTCTGGGTCCTACACCAGTGACTGTTCTGACCATGCAAGCCAGGTTGCCAGAAAATATGCAATTTGCCCACTCTTTGCTTCACTGGTCCCTGTGGGCAGGCCCTGCTTCCCCCACCCAGGAATGGACTGGGAATGTTTGGAGGTGCCTCAGCTTCTCTAATCACTCCTTGGTTTATGATGCAGCTGAGGAAAACTTTGTACTTCCATGTGAATATTGTTGTTCCTTTTGCACCTCCTTTTCCTTCAGCTTTACCAACTTCTGGTAGCTTTGTTCCTCCTTCTCCTGCACGTGGAACGTGACCTCTTCCACAGATTCACACATTCACCAGCACCTGGAGCTCCATTATAAATTGTTTTCCATGTGCTTTTTGCTCCTGGACTAAACCTTCTCATGTCTGCTTCAAAAGGGGCTTCCCATTGCTTTTTCCCAGGTGAGTTCCTTTTCCACAGCACTGTTTTGCTCCTTAAGGCTCAACAGTGCCTGCCTTTCCCATCTTGGAACAAATGCCTTCCACCTTTATGGCCAAGAGGCATCCGTGGGATGCTTTTTCACAGGATCAGCACTAAAGACAGTCACCTCCCATCCTTCCAGGCCAGTTTCAGAACTCCACAGTCCCATAAAAACAAATATGGGCTCGTGCAGTTAAACACCCATTCCTCAAGATTCAGCTCTAGCTTGTTCAGAGGAGGCAAATTACCCCAGGGAATTCTTTGTCCTTCCTTCTGGCAAACACACCTTTTGGCTTTGGGTGGTTCAGGGATGTCCTTCATCCCTCTGGGTGGTTCAGGGATGTCCTTCATCCCCCTTTCCTGCCTCAACTCTGCCGGGTTCAGGGAAATGAGCAGCTGAGCCATCAGGTAACTTGAGGGAGACAGGGAGAATGGGCTGGGCTGCCTAAACCAGCACCATCTGATCCTGTGCCTCTGTCCCCCTCTCCACTCTGGGATGCTCTGCCTTTTGCCCTGGCTCCTTGTTGCTCAGAGGAAGGGGATGTTTTCCTGCCAGCAGCTGATATTTCCCACCCTATGGAGAAAGATCTCTTTCCATGAGGGCAGCTGTGGTTTCCATGTCCATCAGCTGGCTGAGGCTGGTCTCTGTTACAGTGAACAAAGCCATGGCCACTGCTCCCCAGCCTGGCTAATCACACGTGGGATCCCACAATGTGGGACACAATCACTAAATCATCTGCAGGTGCTGAATGATGGTTGTTTTCAAATGTATTAATAAGACAAAGACCAGATTTCATGTTCTGCCAGCAAACTTAGCCAAAAATCTTCCATTCTCTCAGAGAGCTCATGAATTGTCTTGGTTTTGTCCCCGCTCCCTGTTTCTGTCACCCTCAAAGGACAGCACCAATAATGGATGTGTGAAAACTCAATGGCTGTTTCTGGCAAATTTGTCTGGGCATCCAGCTCTTTGTTTTTCCTCTCCCCTTCCTTTTTCCCTGCGTGGTCTGTTGCTATGCTCCACAAATGAGATCTAATCCTGCTGCCATGACTACAGAGCTTTTCAGGGGCTCTTAAAAGCAAGCAGCAAGGTTCTGCCATGCTCTTTACAGGAAGACACAGAGCTGCCTCAGACAAACTCCACACATCTGACATCACCTGCCGCTTTGGCTCTGAGGAGTTTGGGGAGTCGTGGTCCTGCACAGCTTTAATGGCAGTTTAATGGCAGCCTCCTGTTCCCTCTCTGTGCTGAGGACACAGGTGTTGCAGAGCAGCTGCAGGGAATGCAGCAATTCCACGTCCATCCTGTCCTCCCTCATCTGCCATTGGGAAGGCCACAGAGAGGCAGCTCAGAGGGGATGAGGGAACAGCCCATTGCTGTTTGGATGCACATCACAGGCTGGGAGGGAAACAGCTCTCAATGGCTCTGCAAATCACTGTGGCTAATTAGTAGGTGCTACTGTTATCCCAAGCAATTCCCAGGGTGGGAAGTTTTGACAATGATGCAATCTTCTCAGTGCTCTCACGGCTCTACAAGTGCTGTTCAATGGATGCTGAATCGTGCAAGATTAACATGGGGGAAGCACTCCTTGCATGTTTGTTATATAAACCTGGAGACTTCCAGAGAAATATTCTCAAGATACCAACCCAGACACAAACCGAAAAGGTGATTATACTGAATCTCCATGTATCTGCAGGAAGCCCTTGCACACAGAGAGATTCTGGAGCAACTGCTCTGCCTAAATTCACTGACTAAAGATAGCTGGTGTGTCTGTCCAGAATTTTACAGAAGGCAGAAAACTGAGTGTAGGTATTGCAGAAAACAAATGTATTAGAGAAAAAGTCTCAACAAACTCAGTCCATGAATGAAAACATTGAAATACAGCTTATGGAGAGCACGGACTAACAGGCATAAAGTTTGGCAGAAAGTAAAATTATTTGACCAAAGAAAGTCTCTGGGAGGTGTAATAAATGTAACAGAGCTCCAGCTTCTCATCTGTGACAGTGTGACATGGTCAACACATGGCCAAGACCAGCAAAAGTCATTGGAGAGATTTTTTTGTACGGTTGCCAAAAGAAAAAGGCTTTGTCCTTTCTCCCAGCTCTCTTCTTGGGTGTGCGGAGCTGATTCAAATCCACTTTTAAGTCCACTAATCCATTCCCTCTGCTGAAAGTGGCACCCACACGCTCCTCCCAGCCCCCAGCTGGGGGTGCAGTGTCCCTGGGCAGTGCCAGGCCGTGCTCACCCCTCCTGCAGCGGCTCGTTCCCGGACTCCTCGGCCACCAGGATCTCGTACTCCTCGGCCGCGTACCTGTCCCAGTCCGAGGGCTCGGGGCCGTCACTGTCCACGTCCTGCAGAGATCACACAGCCAGGGACTGTCACAGCCAGGGACTGTCACACCTCCCTGCAGCTCTTACACACAGGCACAGCAGCAATTCCAGCAACAGAAAGCAACTGGATAGAAACAGCCACTTGAAAATGGCCTTAACTGAGAGACCCGCAATTCCCTCGAGTATTTGAACATCAGCACATAAAGAACTATGAAAAAATACATCTTGCAGTCTGTAAGTTCTATAAGACCTGAGCTGCCAACAAACTGCATCTGCTTCATCTCAGCAGGGCATGCCCCGTGTCTGTGCACTTTGGAAGTGGCTGAAGAATCTGGGGGGTAAAATCTTCTCATTAAATGTTAATTGTAACTGAACTTTAGAGGGACTCCTCACTGTTTGCTAAGTTTGGGCAAGTTTGAGAGAAGATTACAGGATAACATCCCTATAAACATTTGGCCCTCTGCCAATTACTGTAAGATGGGGCTAATAAGTTATCCCCCAGCACTACTCAACTGCTCTTACGATGATCCAGTTTAAACAAACAAACAAACAAACAGGGTGGTTCTGGCTTGGGATATATTTGAGTCTTGAATCATGGAACCACAAAGTTTCTCTTGGAGATTATGCGGGAACAGCTGTGAGGGAACCAGAGTTGGTTTTGGCATCCCCTCCACTGTACTTTGAGCAGATAAGAGGCTTCTGGGAGATACTCAATAAGCTGCAGTCACATCTGGCTTCCCTGGCTGTGCAGGGGGAGCCACAAGTGAGGGCCTTCACACCAACAGCTGACAAAACTCAAGTCTTTGAACATCCCACAGTTTGTGGGGAGAAGCAGCTGCCAAATCCCAAAGCTATACTCTCCTCCTGTATTTTCTTTGCTTGGGAAGAGAGGATGATGAAGGACAGAGCAGCCAGGCTGAGAAGCAGGCAAAATCTGCAACATCCAAACCTTCCCTGTGGGCTGAGCCCCCTCCCAGCCTCTGACTCAGGGCAGCTCAGCAGGCTCTGGGTGTTCTCCCTTCACCCTCACACTACACTGCCAGTGCTGGTGTCACAGGGATGGCAACACATCATGGAACAGCAGCAGAACTCATGTGGGAAGGGACCCAGGAGGGCTCCAGTCCCAGCTCTGCTCAAACCAGGATTTGCTGTGAGGACAGATCAGGGGGCTCAAGGCTTTGTCCATCACATCTTGAAAACCTCCAAGAACAGAAGCTGCACAATCTCTCTGGGCAACCTGTTCCAGTGTTTGACTGGTCTACTTGTGAAACAATTGTTCTTATATTCAGATGGATTTCCCCTACATCCAGCAGCACTGCAAGGATGGGTTTGAGAAAGCTTGTATTTAGGAATAGAGGTGATTTATACCTTTTGCACTGCAAAGGGATCCCTCTGTTCATTGTCCAGGTATTTCTCTAAATTGAAGAAGGTGTTGAAGAACACATGAGCCATTCTGCACCTCTTCAGGTCTCGCAGGGTTACTCTTCCTACAGAAAAAGAACTCACATGATTGTGCTTCTGAGTTCTTACTTAGTGGGAGACTGGACCTTGTCAGTCTCAGTTTTAACTTTAACATCAGCAGGCTTCAGCATTACAAAATTTCTTCCCAACTCAGCCAAGGATTTTAACATTATTCAATAAATGGGTGTGTTTATTAGGCTTAAATCTCACATACATATGGAGGTCTCTGACATTCATGTGAGATGTGAAAGAATGTGAATAGGGACGGTCCAGTTTCATAATTTAGACTGTCAGCACATCCCACAGCTGAAATACAAAAGACATGTTGCTCCAGTTCCAGCAAGTTAATTCACAGTGTCTCTTGTTTTAGTGTTTCAAGCCTCCTGCTGGCACAGCCAGCCCTGTGCAGTGACTGTGCAGTGACTGTGCAGTGACTCCAACACAGGGCTGTACCTACAGACTGGTCACACAGGGACATCACCTTCCCAACTCACCACTGAGCAGAGAGGAGGAAAACTCTGATCAAGCAGGACTTACCTTCCCTCTCTGGCTTAACGAGGTCCAGCATCTGGCACAGCAGGTCCTGGAAGGGCAGGGGCTCTATGCCCATCACCTCCATGCGCTCACACTGCTCCTCGTAGAAATACTCCAGCTCATACATGGACAGCACTCCATCCCCATCCAGGTCCATGCACCTGAACCAGTACTCAATGCTGGCAAAGGAACAGGGACAGGGAGAGCTCAGCACTGCACTACAAATCCTTACAGACTGCAGCAGTGCACATTCCCCTTCTCCCATCCCCTAAGGCTCCTCTGCCCAAAAGCTGGCACAAACCCAGGGATGAAAATATCCTTTGGGAATATTTTCCAACACCCAAAGCATGTTCTAGTGGTCTCCCAGGTGGTTTGTGGGCAGCACAGCCCTGCTCATGACCTGTTTCACCTGGCAGCTGTAACAGTGCTCACTGTGCTGAGCCCGAGGGGCTCACACAGGTCAGGGTGTCCCTGCCCAGCCCAGCAGCAAAAATTGGCCAAATCCAGCCAAGTCTGAACCCAGGGCACCGAGGGACCCTGGTGAGGGACAAGGCAGGCAGGGTGTGCTCTGCTTTGCTCTGCTCCTTCAGACAGAGGGCAGTGCTCCCAGGCAGCTCACCCTGCATGCCCCCACCTCTGGGTGCTCCAACCCTGCACTATGAATTCTTCTCATTCTTATGCAGAAGATTCCTTGTCCCAGTAATCACACACAGACCTGGATGAGCTCTGGACTGCAGTCTCCCCCTGGCTCAACAAACCAGGCCATGGGCAGGTTTTACAAAGGGACACAGTGAAGGTTCCCCACCAACCCTTCCTGCACGCTCGGTACACGTGTGAAGGGAACGTGCCTCACCTCTGCCAGCTCCTCAGGGGTTCCACCCCAGAGCCAGTGCTTCATGGGGAGCCAAAGGCACTGATGACTACCAAGACATTTAACATTACAAGAAGACTCTGCTTCTACACAATTTCTCTTCAAGAAAGGCAAATTATTTGATCAAGAGTTGACCATAAGTTGCTTTCCTCCTAATGGAACCCAAGCTGCCGTCTCTTGGAGAGAGTGGCAGGTCACAGAAGCTTCTGTATCTTCTGTGCTCATCTCAGTACTTTCACCAGACACAGAAATCAGTCAGACCTTGTAGCACTCCTTTTGTCCTCCTCCGAAATCAGGAGCCACACAAAATCCGCATAACTCATCCTGCCTTCCTTCTGAACCTCAGTGCCTCTGGAACACACAGCAGGAAAACAAAGTTAAAACCCACCAGGCTCCTAAATACTCACAGTGTCAGCAAACATATTTTTCAAAAGTCCCAAATCATCAGTGAGAGAAAATGGGGCATCACCACCCACTCAGCCTGTACCCCCTGCACCTCCAGCACCAGGCACAGCCTTTGCTGTCACTGCAGAGCTGAGGCTCATCTGCCACATCCCCTCCCACTGCAAGGGCTGGGCTCTTTCACCTTCCAGAGACTTTCCAGAAGTGCTCTCCAGCTATCCCTGTGCCATATAGCCCAGCTGTGTCCATCCATCCCATCCTACAGGATTTTGTAATTTGTTTTCTTAAGATACCCAGAAGTCTCTCTCCATTTTCAGGCAGCTCCAGCTGGAGCACCCTATTGGAAACCATTCTGATCAGTGGGGGTTTCTGAGAGTAACTTGCATGTCTAAGCAGCCTCACAGGAATTCCCTTCCCTTTCCATCCCAGTCCCCCTCACCTCACCACAGCGCCACTGAATATTCGCTCAATTATCCTGTTGGATAAAGCTGGAAACAAAGAAAACATAGAGAAAATGAAGCCACAGCTCACAGGAATAACTGCAATCAGTTGTTTATGCTGAATCTACACAAAGCCATTTCCCACTGCCAACAGAATGCTCTGCCTGTGCTGCCTGTCTGACCTCTCTCTGTTCAGCAGCGTTTTATAAAAACCAAGGATGATTCTCCCAGTGGGTCTGCCTCTGTATCCTCCCAAACACCACTGTCCCATGAAAATGGCAACTTTTATCTGGATCCTTGGACATGGGCAGTGTTACTTCTGCTCTGCTGCAGAAGGATTTGTCACATAAGCAACCCCACTGGTAGCAGGAGACTATTTCAGTGGGTACTGCAGTAGAAGTTCAGTTACCAAGCCAAAATAACACCAAATCCTACAAAACACTTCTCAGCAGAGCACAGGCTGTGGTAACACCCAAACCTCCTGTGCAACAAATCCTCCCCCCTACACTCCAGCCTCCCAGCAGGGACCAAGTGTCCCCTGTCACCTCTCCATCCTCCCCCTGCCCAGCCCTACCATCACCACCCCTGACCCTGGCACTGCCACACTCCCCCAGAGCCCCCATGGCCTTCCACAAACACCTGCACTTGGAACACGGGGGCTTCTCAGCCCTTTGTGCATTTGTATTCCATTAATTTATCCATGGTCCTTGAACCCTGGAAAAGCCACAGCACCTGCTCAGCTTGTGGAAAGGAGGTTCCACACTGAACTCAGGAGATGTTCTCCTGAAATTTCCCAAGCTTCACTGGACTCTGGAATTTCTCTCACTGCACTTCAGCCATCTTGGAAGTCCACATGGGTTTGTCCTTTTTGTCCCTACTTCCAAGTTCCTGCAAAACCCTCAGTAAATAATAAGCACGTTTCAGGGCATTATTTTAGCTTGTCCTTCTGGCAGTGGCCCACATGTGAACAGAAGCTCCATCTGAAGCTACTCATGCACAAAATCGTGTGTACTGCAGTTCTTTGTGTCTGAGCCCCTGCAGCTCACTCTCTAAATCAGCATTTACTTAAGAGATGGATGGTTCCACTTAAACTTTTTTTGAGGCATCAAATTGACCAAATCAAAGGCAGGCTTTACTCCTGGGTGAGAACACTGTACTTTCAGCAGTGCCCCTGGTCCCAGCACAGCCTGCAGGCACCATACCTTGGTCACTGTACCGAGCCAGGTCCTTCTGGCTGATGTAAAGGTCATGGTCAGTGTCCAGCTCCCAGAATTTACAGTAAATCACATAGAAGTGCTCATAGGAGAAATAGTCTGTGATCTGATTTATGTCATCCTCTTCTTCCAAGAGAGCAAGGGTCTGAAAGAGCACAAACCAAGTGGGAAGTTAAGCCCAGGGAAGAGGCAGCTCTGCAGCTGAAGTGCTGCAGGCTGGAGGAAGCTGGGTGAGCACAGTTCTGAGAGCCAACCTCCACACAGCCTTTCTGCCCAAGAGATTCTCACTGTTTTAGCCAAGTCCTTCACCCTCCAGCCTGAAGACCTTCTGGCTCTTTAGGCTGGGCTGGACACGAGCAGCCTTAGACAGTTTTAAGCTGGTCCTCTTTTGGATTAAACATGCAGAGGACAGAGATCCAAATGCTGCCATAAGGGCACAGCAGGGACTGGAACAAGACCTCAACTCCATCTGTTCTCCTGGGGGATCAACTCCTGGGGTGAGGACCAGCTGTCAGAGGGCTGGGAGGCAGGAGATGGGCTGTCCTGCCCCTGGCACTGCAGCAGCTCCTCCTGGCTGCCTGGGAGCCACTTCACAGGGTGCCCTGCTGTCCTTCCTGCCTGGCCAGACCATGGAGGCTGCTCCACGCAGCTCCAGACCCGGTGCTGGTCCCCCCTGACCTTCTCCCAGCGCCCCTTGGCCCCTGCAGCCCCTGCTGCTCTCAGCTCAGCTCTGACCCAGCTCCTCCAGCAGCCCCAGTGCTCTCCCAGCACGGAGCACTCGGCCTGTCCTGCCCCAGGCCCAGCTCCCTCTCCACAGCCCCAGGAACATGGACAGTGCATCCTGGATCTCCTTCACACAGAAACCAACGTACTTGCAAGAAGTTGCTTTTCCTCAGCTCTGTCAGAGTGATCTTCCCAGACCAGGAGCGGTTCACAGTGTAGAATATTCTCTGTATAACCTGCAACACACGAACAGAGCTCTTGAAATCAACTTCTGAAACACCTCAGTCTGGGAATTTAAACACTAACTTTGTTTATTCACTCAGCCTAAGGACACTTCTTTTTGCAAACTGCTTGGTGATCTTTTTTGTCGGTACTACTGTTCCTAATTCACTACACAGCCTAAAAGTAACATTTGCTTTTGAAACAGTATTGCCCATTTCCACTCTGCAAACACTTTCACTGCTCTTAATTCACCTCTTCGGGCATGCAGATGAATTATTTACAGCAGGAACATGTTCAGAGTGCTGATGGATCACTTTCAAACCGAGCTCAGCAGGTTTTAGGGGCTGCAGTTTGCACGGATCTCAAATGAAACAGGGTTCTAGGTTCTAGGAAAAGAAAATGTCAGGACTTCTGATTCCTGCAGAGGAAGCAGGAGTGTAAATGAAAGGCACAGCTGATGTCTGAGCTATTGTGCCTGGAACAATGCCTCATGTTCCAGGGGCTCCCTGAAAGTGAGCAACAGGGATTATCTGTCTGCATTTACCCAGGGGAGCTGTGAACCTCATTTGTCTCCTTTCCTGATCTCCCTCTGGTGAAAGGGAGTGAAAACCACGGGGGATGCACAGAGCCCTGAGGGACCAAAGGAAACAGCTCAGGGTGTGAGACTGAGCACACTCCCAAGCACCTCAAAAAGCTGAGCCCTTCCTAATCTGCTCCTTGTCACCTTGACAAGGATCATCACAAAGTAGGGAAGCACAGGCAAGGATAAACCTACAGGGCAAACAACAACAAATAAGCATCCCAGCATGAGAAATGAGAAATAGAACTAACACGGCTCAGCACTGAAATCTAGGGAAGATAATTCTTGTTGACCAAACCCAATACAAACCTTTGATGTCTCTGAAATGTTGACACATTATCCTAAAATTTTGGCAAACTTCAGTGCATCCTATTCCAACACAAAAATTAACTTTACACAACAATATGGACATTACAGGGATTAATCCAGCTAACAAATGAAAGGGGTTGGGGTTTGTCTCTTAGCTAGAACTAGTTTCAAGTGGGCAGCCACCACTGAAGGGCTGTGCTTGGGCTCAGTCACACAAGTGCTGCTCCTTAGCCCAGAACAGACCTGGAACCAAGTATGACATTGCTCTGCACAGCCTGCTTCGGGATACACAGATCAGTGAGACAGTAAATGCTGATGGCACACAATTTTGAGAGCAACAAGAACGATTCAAGGATTGAAAATGTATCCTGAAGAGAGAGAATGAACAGACTCAGCTGAACATGACACCTACTGGTAACCCTGCAGGCTCTTCATCACTCCAGGCCTCGAGGGTGGATGTCCTTCTAAAGTTGGGTGTCAGATCAATTAAAACCAAACAGAGAACAGATCTATCCCAACTGCAGCAACCACTGAGCACTGTTCTCTGCCCTGTGTTAGAGGTCACAGTAGGTAATCACAATGATCCTTTCTGGTCTTAAGCGCAGTGAAAAAGCTCTGTGTTTGTTCCTTTAACGCCTCTGGCAGCCACTGCCATTCTGGAGTCTATTTTTGGACTTTGTTTGGCTTTTGCTTCCCAATTGCACAAGAGCTCAGAGACTGGAGTGGGTCTCACCTCGTCCATAACCCGTTATCACACCTGACAACTCTGTGCTGGCTCTTAAAGACACAGGGTGTTCACACCATTCCAGGGACTCAAATCCAGCAACCCCACCCCACACCAGGAATTCTTCTCTGCCTGCAGGGTAATAAAGGACAACAAACTATTCCCCTTTGAGACACATAAGAAACTGTTCATCTATCAGACCACATTGACAAGGATGTTCCATCTACTCCCTCCTCACCTGGCTGTAAAAATAAGGCACTCACAGGTAAAATGGGATCCATTTTCATCTCTTTTACCATGTCCAGTCACTCAGGGCAGGCTATATTATTCAAATAATGGTCCAGTTGCAATGGATAGTAGTACACAGTATACATATCAGAATAAAAATCTCAATAATTCTGTCTTTTTTTTCCAAGTTGGGAAAACCAAGCTGCCAAAAAAAAAAAAAAAAAGCATTTGGGAAACACCCCAGACCATAACCACCCAGCCTGACATGATTTGCAGTATTTAAGACTCACTTGTCACTTTTGTCTTACTGAAAGCCATAACTGGCTTTGTTTTTCCCAACATGGAAAATTGTTTATTCTGAATTCAGAACATAATCATAGACTCCTGGAATATCTTGAGTGGGAAGGGACCACCAGGATCATCAAGTCCAACTCCTGATAAGCCTTTGCAAGGAGGAGCCCCTTTCTATTTGCCCATTATCCTCATGTAATCGGTCTCCAGGACCCAAACCACTGACAGATGAGTTCCAGTCCTTTCCCCAGCCTTCCCACAGAAGAACACAAGCAATACCACTTCTGGAAAACTCCACAAAGCTTTATTACCCCCTCCATCCTCCCCTTACACATTCCCATTGGTCCCACTGCACAAGCTGAAGGACTTTTCCACAAGCACTGTGTTTTAGGCTGCTTTAAGCTGACAGCTGTCCAACATGCAGTGCTAACTCTGAGCCTGGGCTCAATGTTCTGGTAGAAGTCACACTTTAAAGCTTTACAACAAATGCCACATGTTATTCTGCACCATCTTCACCAGCCTCAGGAGTCGGTCTCTGTGGAAACAAACACAACTAATTTAGTAACACAATGGCTCACAGATATGACACAGATAAAATTCCAGCCTGGGGCATCCAAAAGGCACCTTTGCAAGGTGCTGAGGTGGCAGTGAGAATTGAAAGGTGCATACACATCTTACCCATTCTGACTGTGAGCTCGCTCTCCAGGTGATTGCAACCAAGTGATGCTGTATCCAGCCATGAACACAAAGCCATGTCTCCTTACAGGCCTCACCTGTAACAAAAATAAACTGTAATTCTTGCACTGACAGCAAACACAGCATTCTGTCACTGTAGGTAAGTATAAGGCACTCTACCTTGAAGCAATCAAAATGATCCAAGTAGTCTCAAAATCCAAGGGCAAAGCTGTCTCCTTCATTACCTCCTGGTGGAAATACTGGATTTTGTAACATTAAAGAGAGAAGTGCCAGACTGTCTGTGAAAGGAGAGGTGAGAAATATGAACTCCCACTGCTGCAGAGGGCCAAGTGCTGCCACTGCAGGAGGGCACAGCCTGCCCTGCCTCTCCTGACCCTGCTCCAGCCAGGGAGTGCCAACAGCCAGGCCCAGACACCCCGGGCACGAGGAGGCTGAAGGACAGCTCGCCTTGGTCAGGTTTGCTGCTGCACAGCCCGGGCCTCAGCCACAAGCACCACCTGCCCTGGCTGCACTTCTGTCCCAGGAGTGCAAACACGAGTGCTAAAGGCTCTGACTGCAGCAGGAGAGCACTGTGGGGACACAAGCAGGATCAGGGAGCACAGAGGAGCTCCAGGTACTCATGGGGGTCTGGTTCTGTGACTGCTTTATGGTGGGGACAGAGGTGGTACCCAGGCACCAGAGAAGTTGTGCAGAAGGAGAGAGGAAGAAAAAATGGTGCCCTTCAGTAGGAGCCTGCACTTCAGTTTTCTTGAAGTGGAACCTCAGCTTCACACAGCTGGTCTCTCAGACCACAACCCATGAGGTCCAGAAAGTGCAGTGAGGGTGATCATGTGGCAGATTACCCTACAAAGACATTTGTTTCTTGCCTGAAAAATACAGAAACAGTGTGTGACTTAAGAGGAACCCTTGAAGGCAGAGCACAGAGCTGCCTTTGTCAGCCCCCAACAGGCAGCACCAGGACAATCACACGTGGCATCCCGAGCTGTTGATACCGCAGTCAGAAACCAACACCAGTGTGACCTCAAACCTTTCACCCCTCTGTGCACCTTGAACACCAAATACCAGAGTACATGTGCCACAGGCACTTTGCACACTCACCCACTCCTGTGGCTCCATAATTCCCTGGCCACTGCTCTGCCTGTGCTGGACAGTCACTGTGCTTTGTGTACCCTGCTCCATGGGGAGCATGTTCATTACACACTGGTGTTCACCCTCATGTTCAAGTGCATCTAAAACATTCAGAATTGGTTCCCTTTACACACTTCCATAAAACATTAGTGTGACAGTTCAGGGTTTGCCCAGGGAAAGTGTCTTTCTGCCATCTGTTCCTGACAGGAAAGGCCCAAGCCTGTGTGTGCCAGTGACCTCCCAGCTGCCTGTGTGGTGCAGCTGGTCCCAGGCAGGCCCTGGCAAACAAACAGGAGAAACCTTCAGCCCTGAGCCCTGCTGGGCTGCAGCTCCCACCAGGTCTGTCATTCTCTGAATTTGTTACTGCTCCACACATAAAACATCCTCACATTTATACCTTTCCTCCAGATTCATGCCTGACATGAGACAAGCTCAAAAAGAGTCCAAACTTACTCAGCTTAAGTGCTGACTGCAGCCTTGGAACAAAGCTAAGAACAAACCCCAGCCACAAGAGCTGGGAGGCACAGAAAGCCCAGGCAGGCCTTCTGGCAAGAGGAGAGCTGGATAGCAGATCCCTGTGTGCAGTGGATGCTTTGTGGCAGGAACAATCCCAGGTTCTCCATGCCCAAGTGACAGAAACCTTTCTACAGGCAGCCTTCCATGTCTCAGCAGCCCAGCACAACTCAGGGTGACTTAGCAACTCTCAGAGACCAAAGAACCTCTTTTCTCTTCATCAGGACAAAAAAGATGTTTTTATAGATTTGCTTAAGACCAGAAAGAATCATTATTAACCTTTTCAATAACCCCTTGTACACACACAGGCAGGTTGGTTCTTCCTCCAGAAGCAGTTCCTAAAATACCTCGTTGCCAGATGTATTAAAAATGCCTATTTTTTTAAATAACTGAAGGGTTTGCTGATAGGAACAGTGAGAGGTCCCAAAGGGGGGGTTGGCACAGGGATCCCAGGGGATCCAAGCAGGCAGCCTACCGTGGTGATGTACCGGGAATGGAACTCCGGGGCATCCTTCAGGAACGTCAGGCCAGGGTGAGTTTCCACCACATCCTGCAAGATAGAAGGAAGCCAAATGAAACAGGTTTTCTTCTCCTTATAATGTTGAGAAGTTACTGGGTTTTACAAACCAGTACTTTTGCTTACTCTTGAAACTGTATTTGCAGCATTAAAAATGAAAGTGAAACGACATTTTTTAATCTATAAGTGAACCTTCTAAAATTACAAGTATAATACATTTTCTGAGCAATACGCACCTGTTGGGCCATTTTGATTTACTTAAGGACAGAAAAACAAAGGAAGAGAGTTAGTGAGTAGATGAAAACTCATTTTCATTGATGAGACAAAAATTAGTTAGTTGACCATGCAACTATCTCCTCTCCAAGACCTCTTTTTATCTCCATTCATTGAAGACACTAACATTTGTTAGAGCTAGGTCTCAGAAATGCACATTCCTTGAGAAAATCACATTTTATGTCCTTCACAACAATGAAAGCTCTGTGAGCCTCAGAATGCTCACAGATAGCAGTGCTTTTCCAAAATTTACTTGAAGTACCTGTGGAGATGCCTCTTTCTCAAGGCAAGTGAACCACTGGCCCACGGTGCCAAATCTGCCCGAGCAGATACTGGAGAAACTGCTCAGATCCTGACTGGATCAGTTCAGGTCCTGCATGAACCAATGTCTGTGTAATCCCCACGTGTGTGACTCCTCTGCCCCATAAGAGTGTTGCAGGTTTTGCTCTGCCTGTTCCCTGCCACGGTGCCCTCAGGGGTGTGACGTGACCAGATTTTGGGCAGTGTAACACCACGGCTGATGGGATGGGGTAAGATGGTGTAACTGTGCTTGTCTGACTGACAAACAGGACTGGACACGCCTTGGATTGCAGCAGGAGCTGAGAGGCAGAGCTGCAACCAGCCAGGAAAGGCAGCGTGTGCCCAGTGGGGAAAAGATGAAGAAGAACGTGACAAAATTTACCCACCACACCCCCGGTTTTGTCTGAGAGACAGAAACATCCAATGCAGACACACAACCTTTCCCCAAAGCAGCATCTCCACAGAGATTTTGCCTCGAGGGCAATATGGTGGGAGAAATGCAGGGATATGTGGAAAAGACTGGAAAAAGTAGCAACAGATGATCAGAGCAGCGGTGGGACCTGATTTATAGAGAAACTATAAAGAAGCCCTAAAGCTACCCAGAGCCTGCCTAAATGGCCACAAATAATTAAAAAATGATACTGTTAAAAATGTCACGTGAATGAAAAGAAAAAAAAAGAAATTAAATCAGGATGCACAAATTAAGCCTGAATATTAGAGAACACATAAGCAGTGAGACTTGTGCACCAGCAAGTTGAGAGGCATATCCAGAACGCTTGCCAAGATTTCTACATTACACTGTATCTGGTAGCCTTGCTAGACAAATTCAATTATAACTGTCTTGCCAAGCAACTTTTACAACTTTTCTAATGTGCATTTATATTGTGCTTGAGCATCAACAGCACCATGCATTTTCCCCAATACCCAAGGAGAGAAGTGGGGCAGATTTCAGCCTGGTTACCAGGCACTGATAAACATGACAAGACACAAGAAACCACACAAAGCTTTGACAACCCTTTAGCAAGATTTACAGTTGGGTGGCATTTAAACACAACAGACCACTTGAAATGCTTATTTCTTTTTCACTCCAAAACCGAAGGTCTGCTTGTCCTTGGTAAACATTTAAGGACACGAAAATAAAGAAGCTGCAAAATGAAGGTGGCTGTGTCCCCACCCCTTCCCCGTACCTGGAGCAGTGGGATGAAGTCCTCCTGCTGTAGGTAGTCACAGCCAGGCTTGGCCAGGAGGGATGTGAACCTGGAAGCATCATCGTGGCAGTTCCGCAGGACTCTGTGGGAGAGATGAGGAGTCACCCCAAGCACCTGCCCCTCGGCACAGCCCCAGAGCACAGGTGGAGCAGGAGGTGCCCCAGCACTCCCCTCAGGCAACACCCACACCCCAAGTCAGGCAGGAGCTCACCTCACACTACCAGCACTCCCTCCAACACCTCTCAGCAGCACCAAGGTACCCAGAGGAGGTTTTTTCCATGTTTTAACACTGCTGTGGCAAACCAGGTTTCTTACTGGAGGCTGTTCTTGCTTTGATTCCGCAGCTACTCAGTGAATAACCTGACTTGTCCAAACGTTGCACACTGGAGTCAACAGCACCAACCCGCTGGGATGCCCCAAGACACCCTCCCCAGGGCAACCCTTTCCTAGAGCTCAATATTTGAGGGCACTGCCAAAACACAGTGACTGAATATTCACCCAGAAAAGTCACTTCTCAGAAGGACAAAGAACGTCCTCTGTTAGCTGGGCCCATGTGGCTGCTGCGCTCTGCAGCCACGGAGAGCAGCATAAGGGAAGCATTAGCAGGACTCAGGATTCAGAGAAGCCTGCAAACTCATTCCTTAGGTTGATAGTTTGTATCTGACACATCAGTTCTTGGCTCTGCTTTCTTCTAATGCAAAATACTGCTGGTCAAAGGTATCACAGTTACTTAATTCACTCCAATCAGAAAAACTCATGAAAAGAGCAACTCCATGACATTCACCAAATAGTGGATGTATCAAACATTAAGTTGTTCACATGGTATAAGGGAAACAATAAATTACTCAGAAAATTACCCTGGTTTCTTTAATAACCTTGAAAATACAAATGCACTGTTAGTTATTTACTGTGATTAGTCACCACCTCCCTCTCCTGAAAGTATCAACATAACACTGAACTGCAGAGAACTCACTGAAATTGTTTCCTGCTAATTCTGGCCTCCTTACTCTACAAAAAGCAGTCTTTAAAAAAAAAAAAGAAAAAGGCTTTTTTTAAATAAGTGAGAAAAGATTAGATTTAGCAATCCTCTGGCTGCACATTCATATCATGGTAACTGTCCACTGACAGATACATCCTAAATCAGCTGCAGAAAAACGTGCTAATGTTTTAGCTTAAAAAAATCTGGCACACGAAGAAGAATCCCAAGGCCATGTTTTAGCCACAAACTAAATGATCTGACACTCAGGAGTATTTTCTATTCAGCAATTACTATAGACTTGAGGAGATCAGTGAGCATGGAGCATTTTGAAAGCCAGGTCACCTACTAAGGTGCTTGAAAACAGGCTCCATCAACAGAAGATACTTGTTTTAGAGCTACACCTGTGCTCACAGAGCTCAGCCCAGCTGTACCAGGAACATTACATTTTTTCTGCCTTGCACGTTTCCAGCAAAGATTTTGTAACTGTCAAAGGGAAGAGGAGGGGGAAAAAAGTTTTCCTAAAATAAGCAATTAAAGTGAGAAAAGCACAGAAAGCTTGGCTTGGAAAAGGGGTGGCTAAAAGGATACAGAAGAGGGACATGACCACAGTCTGCAAATATCTGAAGGATGTGAAAATCAGGAGTGAAAATATGTGGTATCATACATGAGGGATTAATTAGGAGTAATTGGAGGAACCTAAGGAAGGAAATATATTTTCTGTGTCAAGACAAACGTAGTGATCACAGTCACCCATCACATTTTTGCACTTTTGCCAGGGTAACTAGAAGCTGCTTTGACAACATCATCACAGGAAATACTTTGGGAATTCAGGGTTAAAGGCTACTTCAAGAATCTGAAGAGGAACCATTAAGTAAAAAATTAGAACTCTCTCTGGAAAGGAGATGAAGATGGTGTTCAGGTGTTTCACAAAGTAGACTAAAGCCTGAATTGCCCTGGAGTGTGTGTTCCATGTCACATCTCCACTCCCAGCACATCCAGAGCTCTCATTTCCGAGGGCAGCCCTGGCAGTGGGATGTGCAAGGGACTGGCAAACCCCAAGGATTTTTATGCTTGAGGAAGGTGGGAACTATTAAACCTCCCAGAGTATCCACTTGTATGATGATGCTTTATTTTACATTCCTTCTTCCTGTCCTGGAACACCGTCACCCACCTCCTCTCCCAGTTCCCAAATGGCCCTCCCTTGGTGCTCCAGTGTAGCAGCAATGAGGCCCATGATTAATCCATCCAAAATCCACTGACACCTATCCTATCAGCTACCTCAGAATAGCTGGCATATTCCTGGGGAGCGTGTTGGGATATTTTATATGCCAACTAGACCAAAACAACTTATCATCTATACAATTGCTTACAAGCCTGTTGATGCCGCATGGAAACAAGTGTTCAGAGAGTTTCAGGGAAGAAAACTGAAGCTGATGGAGATTTTCAGCCATTTAAAGAAGAGACAATGATTTGAAAAGTCTGGTAGAAAATAAGTAAGGGGGAAAAAATAAAAAAGACTTCTGTGGCAGGCTGTTCCCTTTTTCCAGGAGAATTTGGCCTTGCTGTACTCACTTTCTCCACATGGACACAAAGGAGTGCACAGATACCCCTCCTGTCCTCTCTCCTCCTGATGCACTGAACAGAGGTGCTTTCCAGTAGAGTGGGCAGCCACAGACCTGTAAGGAAACACCGGGATAAAGAGGAATACAAGAGCAGTCCCGAGAGGAGCCTGCCTGTTTACACACCAAACTCACCATCGAGGCTTGACATGAGGGAAATAAGGTGGCAATGGCTTTCTGACTGACCTGTGTGCCACTTGCTGTGTGCCAGGGTTGAGAATTCACCAGTAACTTTCTACCTGGTGCCTTTTTAAGCGGCTGGGAAAAGGATCAGGGACTATCAAGGTCTTAAGCTCTGTCTCAGACTGAGCTGTTCAGCAAAATTCCCTACCAAGTGCAATGGAGGGAGACCCTCACAGACCTACCTGACCCATTCCCTTATGGGCTCACTTCTCACTGGCAGCCAGGGAACCTCAGTTCTAATGAGAGACAATCAGTTGTTAAATGCCTGGAGGTGAAGGAATTCCCATCCCATGGTTTTCAGTGCAGTGCCTGCCACCCAGCCCAGCCCCTTTTCCCAACACTGCTGGATCTCAGCAGGGTAACACAAATGGGAATGAACAAATGGAAAGAGGCTGATTCCAGCAAAAGGACTCCCTGAACAGCACTTCTGACCCAGGCTCTGCAAAGAATGGCCATCAGTGAGAGCTCAGGCACTCTGGACTCTCCAGGGCCTCAGCAAAGCAGGCTTGAGGATGGTGCCAAACAGCTGCTCACACCATCAGGCATCTCCTCTTCACCACAGAGACCTTCCCAGCCACTGTCCTGACTAAACACTGGCCTTGCAGGGAGTGCAACTGGCTCTGGCCAGGCACAGGGAAGGAGGATATCACAGCAAATGCAAGGAGGAGTATTTTGAAGCAGCAGTTGAGGCATCATTTCTGCCTTCCCCACAAGGCCTCTTTCACATCTTCTATTAAGCAGGACTATCCTGCAAGCCCATTCTCAGCTTCTGTCCAGGCCTGCACGTTTCTTGGGGAACCTCAATCAGCCCAAGAACTGCTTTTGGATTTAGCCATCCCTGTGTCAGGCAACTGTGATTCCACAGGCACTCAGCTCCTCTAAGAGAACTAGGACATTTAACATTTGTGTTTCCTGTGTGTAGCTGGTTCTGAAGCATTTATTTCAGAGCCCCAAAGCTGTACCACTGTCAATAATGCCATGGAACAGAAGCAGCCTGACAACAGCTAAATGGCATGAGGCACATCCAGGTGGAGACCAGGAAAGGCAGGGGTCTCTTCTACACCAGCCTCCTGCTTTGAACATGACAGGCCCCACACAGTCGCCTGTTTTGTCATTAAACCTGTTTCAAACCTTTTTTGGTCAATCAAAGAAGGTTTTCTATCTATATTTTCAGAGTAGGTTTACAAATAATGTGCCTGGATTCCTCGAAAAACAAACAAAACCAACCTAGTCCCTCCTTTCAGGAAAACCCTCCTTCTTGGAAAACAAGTGCTGCTCTCAGGAAGAACACCACTGCTCAACCTACAGTGCCAGAGATGCACTCAGGGCAGGCTGAACAGACGAGATGTGTCTGACAACTGCTACTTTTAGATCAGCAGCACTGCAAACCACGGCTGGAGAAGGGAGATAGCAGGGACCATCTGCACTGCGCTCCCACACAAGTGCTGGGGGCTGTTCCCTGGAGCCAGAACTCCTCAGCAGCCTGGGATTCCTGGGTCATGGACACTGAATGCACATCTCAGGGGCTGAGGGCTCACTGAGCATCTCCCTCCTCCGTGTCCAAGGAGGTGGAGGTTGGGAAGTGCTTTCCCACACGGCACTGCAGCAGCACCCGCTGCTCAGGCTACAAAAAGCCCCAAAAAAGGCAGCTGGCACCACCTGAAGCCACAGAGGCACAGAAGTTTCTGCCATCTTCTGAGCAGAACTATAGAGGGACAGAAGAACAAAATGCCATTTGTATTTGCTGAAAATCTGAGAAAACCATTTGGTAAAGCAAAGCAAGGAGGAACACACACATCTGATGTGACAACCAGCAAACTGAGCTCAGTTTGTTTACTGTAATCTAAACAAAAAACTTCAGCACAAAAGGATAATAGTTCTTTTTCCCCTAAAACAGCTGTGAGATTATTTGCTTTCATTTCATTCTTTCTCTCACAAAAATTAAAATCCTAGAGAACAGAACCACAGAACCATCAAGGCTGCAAAAGACCTCCAAGCCCATCACTAGTTACCTTAGCAATTTTCCCCATTTCACAGACGTTTGCCTTCTCATCTTCAAACTCTGAAAAGGCCTCTTCAACCCTGGCAATGATTTCCTCATGGTTAGTGCAGACATTGGGAAGTCCTTTAGGGAAGTAGAAACGTGGAATGTTTATGGACAAGGGGGCACTGCTGGTGGCTTTATTCACAGGCAGGAGAGTGCAAGGGCCAACTGAGGGCTTCAGGGGGGCTAGGGAGGGAGCTCCAGGCTTCTTCTCTTGCTTGCTTTGAACCTGAAAAGATAAGAAATAACAAACACCTTTTTAACAGCACGGCACACAGAGCAGGAAAACACTGCTTGTGCTCCCAGGGATTCGAGAAAATTAAACCCACCAATAATGGAATTATAGCACAGGGATAAAAATGCATGTCTTAAATAGTCCATTAAAAATTCCTGCTTTATGAAACACTGCAAATTTAGGGAATGTCACACCTGCTTTGATGCTGTTCCTGTGCATTTGACATGTGTAGCTCTGGATTATGACTGATCACACACTCTGCAACTCAGCAACACCACACACAAGGACAAGGTTATTTCTTCTCATGCTGGTCTGTGTTGTCACTTTGCCCCATAAACAGCAAAGTATCAAAACCTGCTCTTTAGTATTTCCCCTTAGAAATAGAGCACCCACCCACACAAACATCTTGCCTCAAGTATGACCAAACTTACCTTCATAACAAGGACATTTTCTATCCCTTGGGAACACAATTAGCTTGGACAAAGTGCTGCTTCACAGATAAATTAAGAAAAGATTTGCCTTCTCAGTTTCAGGGAGCCCTTTGTTCTGTGCCCAACTCCTACAGTCCAAGACCTGATTTTGTTACAAGTACTAAGCACTGGGAAACCAATTTTCCCATCAGAATTAGGAGCAGCCAGCACAGTGCCATTGGGCACCCACTGGATATCTTTTCCTATCAGTCCTCCCCTGTCTGTAATAAACACATGGCTGATATGGGGATCCCCCTGGATCACCTCTTCAATGGATCCCTGGATATGGGGATCTCCCCTGGATCACCTCTCCAATGGATCTCTAGTTCCAGCCCTACATCAATGCTTTTCATCCCAGGCAGAATTTGTATTTAAGCACATAATAAGATCCTAAACCAGAGAATTTTTCTGACATGGGAGGGAATATTTTTTCAACTTTGACAAGCAGTTGCAGTATAAGCAGAATTCAGCTGCTGGAATGCCAAGGGCTGACGAATTCCCTGCTCCCCCACGAAGACACTCTTCCTTGGGAACAGGCAATAGGCTTTCCCATTGCACAATGGTTCCACTGCAGGAGTTATTATTAATGTAACAACATATGTGATAAGGCTCAGAAGGCAACAGTCAAGTAAATACAGCTGCGACTTTCAGTTTGTTTATTCTGACTGTTTCCAAACAAAATGGTTTGAGGATAAAGCAGCCAAGTCTGAGATCACTAAATGCAGAAGAATGTATATGATGAACGAACTAAACTCTTTGCCTTATTATTTTCCATAAACTTGGAGCTTTTTTCTTAACACACACTGGATCCCCCAGCCTACCATGGGTTTGCTCTCAGGAAGGTGAAGAAGTGAGAACTGTAAAACCTTCCTTAAGCCCTGTTTTTACCTGCAGTTTATAATACTTTATAACCCAGTCCTCAGAGACCACGAGGAAGGCTTTTCTCCTCTTCACTCCCCTGCTTCACTGCTCTTTCTTTAAATGAGGAGGACCTCTCATTTCCCAAAAGCTGTCCCACTCAGGAGCAGGGACACTGGCACACATGCCAGCCAAATTACACTTTTGTTCTGTATCAGTTCTGTACAGAACACATTCACCTGGAGTTTGAGACTCCAAGTCTTTCTCTCCTGTGTTTTAAAACACAGGAAAAGCTGAAGCTCACTTTCAGCCTTCAATATTTCTATCAATACCAGTGCTCAGTCTGAACAGTCCTCAGTGTAGCTCAACCTTTGGAGAACAGGCCTGATCTCCCCCATCTGTTCTCCCTCTCATCTTCCTTGCTTTTTCCTGCTCTCTCACACACTGCACCCCTCTGGGTCTGATCCTGAGTGATGCTGGAGCCCAAAGTGGGCCAGCTCTGAGTCCCAAAGTGTTCCTGGGGCTCAGCAGGGCTGTAGGACGGGGGAAGCACCAGCCCTGGTGACTCTGTCCCACAGCAGGACAATGCAGGTGACCTGAGGTGGTGGCAGGGGTTAAGCTGGGTGCTCCCTTTGGGATCATGGAACACATCCCTCTCCTGGCTGCCTTCTGCTCTTTCCTCAGCAGAGTAAGAGAAGCAAAGTCCAGCCAGGCTGAATGTGTCTGGGGAGGGGGATCTGACCTGGAGAACTGTCCCACAGCACCACTTGTGCCTTCACCACCCCCCTCCCACCCTGCTGCCCTGCCCAGCCAGGACCAACTCCCTCAGCAGTTTTCTCTTTTGGATCCCAGCAGAGGGAAATCCCTGCCAGTCCCTCACAGCACCAAACAATGCAGGGCTGGAACAGCCCCCGAGGTGCCACTGCAGCCACTTGACTTCTATAATAGGACTTGACAGGCCCTTCTCACAAACAGGTTTATTGCTCCCTGATCTCTGCATCCCACAGGCACTCCAGGCTGCCAGCACCCTGAGGAACCAGGAGGAATGACTCAACTGGAACAAAAACTACCACAAACCAAGACGTTCCTTCAAAGGACTCTGACGCTTCACTTCAGCAACAGATCCCCCTCCCTTGCGTTACAAGGGAATGATAAAATCGTATTTTTCCTCTCTTGGAAGGGACAGAGACATCCCCCAAGCAGACCACAGCAGCACTGTGCCATTCTCCTCCTCTTCTGCACACCACATACACCTCAATAGGGCACAAGAGCTGTAACACCACTCATTCACTCTGTCCAGGTCTCCACCTCCCAAAACCCAAAACAATTCCTCCTCCTCCAGGGACTCCCAAAGCCAGAAACCAGCTGGTACCAGCTCACACAAGCCACAGCTCCAGAAGTTCCATTAATTTCCCAATCCACAACCACCACACAGTCCAGAAGGTTAGAGATCTCTGGGAGAAATACAGGGAATTCTGCCAAGCCTCAGAGTAAGGGCCCAGTGCAGGTTTGCAGCTGCCCTTCCCAGTGAGCCTGACTCCCTAACCCTGCTCAGGCCCAGTAAAATGAGGTGAGGCTTTGCTCAGGGATGGCTTCTCTTTAGATTCTACCTCAGAAACAGAAATACAGTTTTTGTACTTTGTCCTCTTCCTTCTTATATATGAAATGAGCTGCCTGTGACACAAAGAGAAAACAGCAACTGGCCCTTGAGGATCCTGTTCCCCAGAACAATCTTACAAGTCAGTATTCTAGGATGGGCATAACCAGATGTGAACCCCTGTGGGGACAACTGGAAGTTAATTACAACTTTTTGTGGAAAAAAAATTAAGGAAGTGGTATGGAGGCAAATTCTGTGGGAATTCCTTGGAAATAAACAGCTTCTTATTGCAAAAAAAAAAAAAAGCCTTAAATGTTCTTTGCTTAGTGGAACACACTTCTCCAACAGGGATGTGCATTTTTGAAAGGACAACTAAGAAAGGAAACTACAAATACTTTAATAAATCTTTTAGCTTTGTTACCAATAGCTGATTTTTTTTTCTCAAGAGGAAGGTGAAATCAAAGCCCATTTTTAAACACTGCTCTACAGCATTGTGTAATTTACCTTAACTAAAATCTGTCCATCCACTGTATCATCTTTTGCCAGTCATACAATTTATTTATGGACAGACCAAAATAGTGACGTGTGTTATAAATAAACCAGACAGAACTACAGCCTCATTGTAGCTACAAAACAAAGCACAGAGCAAACCTCTACCATCCCAGCCCGTCTCCCAGGGATGTGCCAATCCCAGCAGAGAACTCCATGGAAGGAAGCAGTATCACATCAAGTGCTCAAATCCTTTCTGCTCCTTCCTCCTGGCCCCGACGTCCACCAGGGTCCCAGATAATACATTTACCAGTTTCTTGCTGTTTTTTCCAAAGGGATTCTGTAATCCTCTTTTCTAGGGTACAGTGACTCAGCCTGGGCTCTCGCAGTCCACAGAGCTGACTTCATGTCTCCTTTCATTTTTCATAGTTCCTGCCTTGCTGGAGTGTGATGGTAACTGGACACAGGCCATCCCCAACGCTCATCCCTTCTCCAGAGCTGCTTTGTGTCTATGGCCCGAGACCTTCTCCTCCTTTTCCTCCCTGAAGCCCTTTCCCATCTCCTTCCTGATGCCTCTTTCCTACTCATTTCTAAGGACAGTAAGAACAACAAAGGCTCATCTGCACATGGCTCTCATCTGCACAGAGCTGTGAGAAAATGATTTCTGCAGAGAACCTTTTCTACAAGGAAACATAAACTCACCCACAGAAACCAAGTCAATCACAGCAAAACAAAAATGAAAACAAACTCGACCTAAGCAACTCAGAAGCACAAAAGGATTGAGGTGGGAAGAGACACAGAGCTAATTCTAAGGTTTGATCAAGCTCCTCGTGTCCTTTTCCAGTGGAATTTTGCAACCCCAGGTCTCACATGTCTCCACTGACAAGTGTGCCTATGGATCTTGCACACGGGCTTCCCATGACTGGTGGACTTCAGCCCACACTCCAAATGCTTCCCTGAAAACTTCATGGAGAAAACAGCCAGGGTGCATCCAGACTACCCCAGAAAGAAAGACACAGGTGGGTATAACCCCCCTGCAATTCTCCCCTGTCCTGAGGTGCAGATGACACTTGCCCGGGGGGGAGGCTGGCACGGTGACAGGCAGGGCCTCAGGGGCAAAGGCCCTGACAAACTGTTCAAATACTTCCAGCAGAGAAGGTGCCCAGTTCTCCACCTGTGGACAGTGATCCCAAGCACCAGTTCAGGCTGGGACCCCACTGGTTGAGCAGCAGCCCTGCAGAGAAGGCTGTGGAGGGGATGGTGTGCCCTGGGCTGAGCCAGAGCCTGCAGGGGGGCTGCTTACAAATAGGGCAAACCATGTCCTGCTCTGCACCAGGAGCAGGGCCAGGAGAACACGGGCACTTATCTCCTCTGGGGCTGCATCTGCATTGCTGTGACCAGTTTGGGACCTTCACTTCAAAAAAAAAAACGATGGGGAGAGACCAGCCAGAGATGTGCAGGAGGGAAATCCCAGAGGCAGGGTCAGGATTGGGTGGCAAGAGGGACTGAGGGGCTGGGGTGGCTCTCTGGCCAGGCAGAGGGGAAGCCAAGGGATGGGCCAAGCACAGATTGCAGCTCTT